CTGTTTCTCGAAAATACGTAAATGTCGCTTAATTCATAATTACATAACAGGGTCCATTTAAGAAGTAAACGAAAGATAGGTAGAAAGTACGTACGTTACAGGCTCAATTACTCCGCAAATTTTAAATAACACTGGTCCATATTCAAATAAAGAAATTGATGATGGTCCTACATTTACAAAACGTCGGATAACAAAATTAAACACAACTTGTGGTGCGTTTGATTTGATCATCGGAGATCTTCGAGCGGTGCAAACGTGTTTAAATTGACACTCCGAGCGTTCCCAAAAGTGTTTGTTTCGCTTTGGAGCGGGAACAAGGAACGAGCTCGATATTCTCAGAGCAGAAGGATCGAGAAGAGGGAGAAATTTGTCTTTGTCTCTACCTCTCTTTTTAATTAACTTACAAACAAATTTGAATCTTAAAATTTGAGACCAGACAAGAAGTCAACAAATTACTTGGCCGCTTTTATTTTGTAGCTAGGTTAGGTTGAAAATGAGTGGGATCATCTCATCACCTTCCACTGCGACCCAGATGGGTCTATTATGGCTCATGACTAACTTATAGTTCACCGTACAAGCCACACCTTTTGATAAAGGTCATGGTTGAATTGGGTGAGACTTCTTTAAAGTTGGTAGGCTCCAGTCAGGTAAATCCGAAGATCTGGAACCTGGTTCTTTCCAGAGCGGAGCAGGTACATAAAATGTGCTCTGCAGACTCGTCCTCCACGCTGCAGACTCGACAGTCCGATGTTTGTTGCAGACCTATCCTTCTCATGTGGTTGCCCAGACCGCATTGTCCTGTCATCAGTCCAGTGAAAATGCGTAGATCTTTCCTACTCCATTCTCGGATCTGAGCAGACGCGTTCATAGAAGTGTTGGTTATAAACGCCTTCGAATGAGTTAGCCCAGTTCGTGAGTGTTGCACCCTCCGTTCATTTTAATTCCTTTGACAGTGCTTTTTGCAATGCCCAAGAATGGTTCTAGTCCTATGAACACAGATTCGGTTCCTCTTTTAGCAAGTGCGTCGCCTTTTTCGTTGTCCTCTACAACACTGTGTCCCGGAACCCAGTTCAAAGTAACTTCTTTCCGGGCACCGAGTCATTCTAGGGTATTTATACAGTTCCAAACCAGCTTTGAGTCAACTCGATTGGAGCTCAGGGCCTGGCTATCTGAAAAGATCTTTATAGTCTTGTTTGCGGCACTTTGCGGGGAGAAAATTAATCAACTCTCTCGCTCCCAATTCTATAGCAATCATTTCTGCTTGGAAGATCGTGGCCAGAGAGCCTAGGTTTATTATTTTGTAGCTAAAATTATTTTTAATAAAAAAATAAAATGTGTGTTTGGAAAATACAATTTCTCTGTTCAGATCTAAATAGCAGCAATCACAGTAATGCAGTTTGAAATCGAAGCGGACATTTGTGGTATATACTGCATTTTAGGGCCATTGTCCCTTATTATTAAAAGTTTTTCCATTTTCTTCACTTTTTGCTCATTATTTTGACACACAAACCAGAAAGCGAGGTTATGTTTTTTACTCTGTTTTATTTGATTTAGTTCAATGCTCTATTGTGAGGTCATCATTTCTCGGTCTCCTCGGCGCTCGCTCGATCGAGTTAAAAATCAAACGATCCTTTGATATGAAACAATAAACATTAAATGAGTTTTTGTATATTTTTGTAAATAAACGTACTGTACTGTAATAAAGAAAGGAAATTAGTTCGTTTTTTTTAAACGTTTTGGAAACCAGCCTCGATATTTTGGTTTTTGAAGCGTCTTCAGATTGGGCTTCAAAATTTACAACTTTTTCCTCTATTAACTAACTTTCTGTTACAGACAGTTTACAAGATAGCAAAACATTTTGAATAAAAAGATTATAGCCCAATAAACTACTAATTAAAAATCAGTCGAAGACACTACCCATTCCCATTCGATTAGAAGATTTGTACATTTTTTAACAACTCTATTTTCAAAACAGAAGTGTTAATTACAGACGCAAAACATTAATTTCGAACGGAAGTATTTATCTAGGTAGAATATGGTAAGCATCCTACTAGTTGATCAGATTTAGCTCATTTAGATTTATTTTCTAGCATGTTTTTAGAAAATTTTAAATTGGAATGTCAAAAAAAATCTTCTGAAAACCGAGTCGAAAATGTTTGCGTTTCTTTTTTCATTTAATATAAACGTTAGTAGAAACAAAAACTGACTTAATTTTTTTATATATAAAATGTTTCCGAGAGTTGTATTTTCAAATTCTAAAAGTCATAACTAAAAATTCAGTAATGACTTGTGAATTACAGGCCTCAGAATATTGTCGTACTAATTACCAGATCAACCAGTGTCTGAGTTATCGCGTCCCCCACAGTAAAGCCTTTTCCTTAAGTAGTACTCCAGTTACACCTGTTTTAATTTTTTAACGTATATTAAGTCTTATGAGTACTATTATAGTATTCTGCCAAATTGTCACCAGAATAAGCTTTAAGCACCAAAAGCAATACTACGGAATGTATTCAAAGTTAAAAAAATCACTAATATAAATAAAATAACATAAATATTATAAAAATAGGTACTTAGCTACGAAATTAAAATTACATAAAATTAAAACGCTAACTATTAAAAAACTAGGTAAAACAATATCTATATATATTTATATCTTAGAAACATGCTACTTGTGCTTAATATTAATTTTAAAAAAATAATGAAAATAAAAAAAAAACAAACTTAACTACATTTTGGGGAAAATACGAAAAGACTTAGAACTTACACATTATTTTCGGGGTGAAGCCTTTGTAAAGAAATTTTTAAATATTAATATATCACGTCTGATAAAAAAAAAAACATTTCCGACTGTGCTTTATAATTTGTTTTATTCGGACAAAATAAATCTAAATATAAGACTAAAAAAATTTAAAAAACCATAATAATAGTTTCTTAAAATTATTTTTTTAACGTTAGACATTTTTTATTTGATCTAAAACTCAGAAATATGTCCTATCTATATACAAAATTCAACAAATACGAGAAATACTTTACGCACTCAAACTTGAAATTTTCAATAAAACAAAATATTATAAGCACTTTAAAATATTAATACGTAACAAAGTGGCGCCCTACTTAACGATACAAAAGCGTAAATAGGAATAGGGCAAGTATTTTTAACTTTTCTCAAGTAAAATACAATTCACAAATCCATCTAATCTAAAATTAAAGAAGAAGGTATTTGCAGATGGCGTCGTTTAATTAATCAACAATTTACCAATAATAAAAAAGACAAAAGAGATAAAAAAGAAGGCATTAACGTAGAAATAGATATATCTGGATCAGGACAAATGAATTAAATATAAGGGAGTACAAATTGATAATAAAGTAATCCAGGGAGCAAGAACAAACCAAGCAAGAGAAGAAATTAACAAAAATTTAGCATGTGACACTAAAGGTATCAAAAGACAGTCAAATTTGTTACAAATACAGGTGTATAAAAATGGGGAACTTAAAAGTCAATGATTAGTATTAAAATGGGGAACTATCGACGAATTAACACTGAAAATGGAATAGTCATAGAGCAAAACTAAACGACTCCGAAAAGAGTCAAAATTATCTTCTTAAAATGAGTCAAATTATTCAAATACCACAATGTTGGATATCTGGAATCTTGCGAGCTCTAATACATTAATAGTCTTGCAAAAGTTAGGTCTCCTCAGCATGAGTTTGAGAGTCAAAATATCCATTTCAACTCTGTGGACGTATAAAGTGAGACCAACTCATCACTTACGGGACTGTAGCCTGGAGTAACAGTTTAGTTACTGGCTAATATCTCAAAGGTATAAAAACTAACCTGTTTACATTACCTGTGCAATGAGAATTTGTCCATACGGCCTCACATATCTACATTTAATGATAAAGAATGTAGCAAAAAGAGCATGAAATAGAATGAAAGGAAAACTGAGCTACATAAGGGGAAAGGATAACGGAATTTGCATTTTCTGGCAACTGAGCCGTTTTAAAAAAGACAAGAGACACAAGAACCTAAAGTGATAAAAAAAGGAAATATAGTAAAAGAAGCGAAAAACAACACCTGTTCTTCCTCTGTAAATACTTATTTGTGTACAAACAAAAAAAAATAATAGAGGCGTATGATGTAAGTTCATCATCTCAATGATGCTTATTCGATACTAATTTAAAAGGATATGAGAAAGGAAGAAAGAAAATAAACAAAATTGTTCTAGTAGTTGTTTGTTATTGATATTATTGTAGGTTATGGGGAACGACCATAGCAATCTGTACATAATCACAAATTTTCAAAGACATGCGTTCACGTGAACGACATATGTAACAACATGCGATCACGAGAACGTAGGTATCTGCAGGGAACATTCAAAAAGTTCAACTTGAGTGACAGATGACATGACAAATGACATGACAGGTGAGATATCAGACATATCAGACGGCTAATCTTCTACGATAATAAAATGTGGAAATGAGGGGCATGAGGAATTGCTACCACTGTAGGAGTTGGCAGATGACAAAAAGCATCAAATTTGCATTGGTTCAAAATCGGAATTGCCGAAATAACTCCTTATCCACGCTTTTGTATCGAATTGACTAACAGACCCCGACTGATCGCTAAAAACAAAAGCATCGTCAAACGATCGTCGCATTGCTATCGCTACTAATCAATCGCTCAGTCTCGCCATCTTTCCCGATCGCCACGTACTGCTCGCCGAAATCAACAGACCCGCTGACCCCTCGCGCTATCACGAAATTATCAGAACTGAACACGGTATCGTAATGAGAACCGGATATGTTCCCTATGGATTTGCTCAATCTATGATCGCGCCCCAATACCCCCAAACCGCTTGTTTTAGTGATCAGAGAAGCGCTATTGATCGGAAAACTGTTGTTGCGCCCTGCTCCGGCCCGTCTCCAATCGGAGATTGTGCTAATGATCGACTGCAACCCGCCCGATATGGTTCTGTTACTATCTGTGGGAGATGCGTTACCTAGATCGTGCTGTTGGGGTCTGGTGAGGTTGGCGACGGGACCGGCGGCCGCGCCTGTCCTGGTTTTGTCCAGATTCGGGGCGCTTTTCGACCACAGCGCCGTCCTATTTGGGCTCGGCCTCAGCATGATTTGGCCGCGCTCGCGCTGGTGCAACGTGCTCGGGCCCCACGTTTTCCCTTTCACTCCGTCGGCTGGTACTGAAATTCAAGCGGTTTTCACCACCCGATCCACACATTTTGTTCGGGAGAAGGAGTGAGAGAGAGACACCTATTCACCCTCCCCGATTTTTTTTATTCTGATAGAACCGTTTGTGTGTCTTTGAGAATGGTCTTTTCTGTCTTTTGTTAGAGGATTATTTTCAAAATTAATGCATCGGTGATGAGCCAAATTGGCCCCATATTTATGTACGATTAAATACATCCACACCCATCTTCACTGCCATCTGGCTCATGCATCAAATAATTCGATCCATAATCAAATTTTGACTATTTTCAATTTTTAAATTCATTTTTCTTTTGAACCGTATCATTATTTCACAATTAGTTGTAATTATATCTTAATTAAATGTAATGGTACATAATTATCAATTATTTAGATTTAATTACCTAGCAATGCATAATTAGATGTAATTTAACACTATTATTTGATAATTAGATGTAATTACCGTGAGATTAACCATCGTTGGATATAATTGTGACATAATTAGACATAATGTTCATGAATTAGATGGAATTATTTGGGAATTAAACGAAATTAGACATAAATATCTCATAATTAAATGTAATTATCTCGTAATTAGACAGATTATACGTAAAATTATAATAATTAGAAATAATTACCTTTTAAATTGTGCATGATTAATTAGACAAGCTAAGTTCCAATTAATTATTGTAATCAACTTATAAATCATTATTTAAATAAAATATTGGCAATTTTCAATTTTTAAATTGTATAAGATTAGCCAGTTGTGAAAAGACCTATTAACATAAACGTTTGTTTGACTCTGTCTTTAAATAAATCAAATTTTGTTATTGCTTAAAATATATTATATCCTCTTACAAAAGACACTTTAAATATGAGGAAATCCGTTTATACCGAAAAATAAAATTATAAACAAACAAAACTAAAAACGAAAATGTGTTGAAAAGCGACATTTTTTTAAACTATCGGAACTTGACAAAACATTTACAAAAAATCTAATAAAAAAAAAGCAGAGATTCTAAAAAACACACACGACGGTGGAAAAAAATTACATGCTCAGATAAAACCATGCTGAACATACTATATATCGATTTAATACATACAAGATGAATCGTAATTATTTACTTCAGTTTATTGATCATTTTGAACTTTATTATTAAAAAAAAAACACATTTGTTCCCACTATAGATCAACGCTGGTAACTCGATTCACCCTGTACGTACAAGTAAAAAAAAACACTTTTGTGGGTATTAAAAGAATTTTGATAAGCTGTACATACCAGGAGTAAAATTCATTTGTAAAAGTTTAAATTAAATCAGTAGTTTTATTTGTAAGATTTGTAAACCACAAAAGTGTTTTCCACCTTTTTATGAAATGATTTCTCAATAAAATTCAAATGTATAGAATAATTTTTTTAATCAAATAAATACATATAAATAAAATATGTGAACTGCTGTCCGACCAATCCCGTATTAAAAAAAAATATATCAGTCCTAATGAATTTTTAAATTATTTCTAATACGAAAATAAACGTCTGTGTGACTCTTCTTTAGTTCAAAGAACAAAAAATTGTTAATAACTACCAACATAAATGACGAAACTATTGAAACTTATGAAAAAGTCCACAGGAAGCGTAAAAGCAAGTTAAAAATAATAACAGGACTGGGCATGCGCCTCTTATTGTCCTAAAACGTTTTTTTGGAATTCAAAAACGATAAGAGCCATTTTGTTTCTATAGTAAAATACGTAAAGTATAGGAGAAACGTTAAAATATCAGTTCATTCAGTTGAAAGTGATCAAATTATCGTTTGGCGTATTTGAAAAAGCCGGACATTTCCAGCCGTGATAAATATAAAAAATCGTTACATACTGTTGAAAACGTCATTTTGACGTTTTTCGTATAAATGTCGAATGGTAGAAGTCGTCAAAGAAACGAAAAACGACAAATTATCGTTTGACGTACTCGAAATGATAAATTTGACTCGAACTGTGATGAATATAAAAAATCATTACACACTGTTGAAAAATGTCGTTTTAGATATCAAAAAACGATAAACACGCCAATTTTGATGGTTCTCGTGTGAATTTCCACAAATTAAAATATAACTTTATGCATTTGAAAAGCGACAAACTATTTATCGTTTGGTGTATTCCAAAAGGTAGAAGCGCTATTTCAAGCTGCGCTAAATAAAAAAAAATCACATACTGTCGAAAAACGTGATTTTAAAACGATAAAAACGCCAGTTTGACGTTTTTTTATATGAATTTCGAATGGTAGAAAACGTCAAATTATCATTAACATTCCGGTAGTCACCCACGATGTCACACAATGGGCTATCAAAATATTCATAATAAATTTTAAGTAGTAGTGGGAATACCGTTCCATAGAATTAGCAATTTTCCTCGCTGTCCCCGTTTTAATAGTAGTCTGGTTTTGGAAATTGTACAATGAAGTAATTCTGAGTTGTTACCTTATCCGGATTCTGACACAGAGGTGACCACTAACGTAAACGGTGTGTAACACCGGGGTGACTACTTAGGGAATAGGAGTACTTAGGAGTAGTAGTAAGTAATTTACTAAATACTTAAGTAAATTTTCAGTAACAGGGTTCACGGGTGCTGGTCGATATGAATTTTTTTAATTTATTTTTTTTATATATTATTTACATGGCATAAATTTCTTCATGGTCGCACTTCGATCAGTATTAGTGAGCATTACCTACTGTTATTTCTACAGGGTGTTTCTAAATTCATACGACAAAATTCAGGAGGTGATTGCTCGTATGAAATTAAGATGGGTCTTTCCTATAACATAATTTCCTCAGCCCCTCCCCCTTTCCGAGATATCACCCTTAAACGGTGGTGACTAAAATTTAGTTTTTATTTTCTTTCTAAAATTTCAGTAAAGCTAGAAACTTGAAATTCTGTAATTTTTGTGCACTCGCAAAGGACTAACCACGGGTATTTTTTCAATATTCCTGTTACATTATAGGGGGGTGAAATTAGCAACCCTTACTTTATTTCATATCAAAACTTTTTTCGAGATGAAATAAAATTATAACTGGAAATCCTTGTTTTATTTAAAAAAAAAAAATTTATTCTTAAATTTTTTTCCCAAAATCAATAGCTTCAGAGAAAAAAATAAACACCATAATTTATAATTTTTTTAATAAATTGCGTGAAAAACAGTAAAGATATAAAATGAAATACGATTCATAATATTGAAAAAATACCCGTGGTTAGTCCTTTGCGAGTGCACGAAAATTACAAAATATCAAGTTTCTAGCTTTACTGAAATTTTAGAAAAAAAAAAATAAAAACTCAATTTTAATCACCACCTTTTAAGGGTGATATCTCGGAAAGGGGTGGGCTGAGGAAATTTTGTTATAGGAAAGACCAATCTTAATTTCATACGAGCAATCACCTCCTGAATTTTGGCGCATGAATTTAGAAACACCCTGTATGTTTATTATAATTTGATTCTAATTTTTTTTTGTGTATATATTGTAAAACCTAAACTCTTGCTGTAACTTAGGTTTTATAAGCAATTAATTATTATTAATTTACTAAATAGTTATTTTTGAGGTGTTTTGTTAAAAATACAATTCTTTTAGAGCTTCTTATGAAAAAGAGCAAAAATGTCTGCAACAACTACTGAAAGAGATTCTAAGTAGTGACGAAAGTGTAAAGGAATGCATGAGGATGTCGAATCAGATGAGGAATCGGATCAGGAAGAATGTCAGGATACAGTTACTGATCTGAACAAGATATTACAGATTCTGAAGAAGTGTTCGTTTAGGAAATCATACATATACAGGGTGTTAAAAAAAAGTGTCACAAAATGAAATGGTGAATAGTATGACCCAAAATAAGCAGAAAAGTCTTAATAAATATATGACCGCAAGTTAACGGTTTCGGAGATACGGACCATTTTGTGTTTATAACAATTTTTTATTATTATAAAAAAACAATAATATTTATAAACAATCAATAACACCATAGAGTTAAATGAGATGTTCAAAGTGCCCTCCCTCCATTTCAATGCATTGCCATTTGCACGACCGTACATAAAATGCATGTCAGCTAATTCAATATTAGTGTAAACAGGCATAACGAAAATTTATAAAATTATTCACCCACAACAAAATAATAACTGCAAATAGTATCTATGAAAAAACATCGGTAGACTCCGATAAGAAAAGCAAGTTTTTGAGAATGAAAAAAGATAATCAAAAAATGATACAAAACACTCCGTATCTCTGAAACCATTCATTTGCGGACATATGTTTATTAAGACTTTTCTGCATATTTTAGCCCATACTACCCTTGTTTTATTTTGTGACACTTTTTTTTTAACACCCTGTATAAGAAAAGATAAAGCTACGCATTGGGCGAAACATCATTTAGAGCACAATACCAGAAAAACGAGAAAAAGAAATATAAAACGATTTTCCGGATCTTCAAAAGATACAAAACGGCTAAAGGAACCAGCAAAGATATGGGATTATTGTTTCAATGATAAACAAATACATTGATATTTTAAAATTGAAGTACCCTAGGAAGCAAGATGCAAGTCCAACTAATTCCATTGAGCTTCATGCGAATATTGAACTTCTCTATTTGGGTGGTGTTTATCAGGCAAGTCGATTAAATGCAGAAGACATGTGGAGTTCCGATGGATCAAGTGTGGAAATGTTTCACCTTACAATGTTTCTTCGGAGATTTAGATTTCTTCTAGGCTTTAAGGTTTGATGACAAGCAAACTCGATATGATCGCAAAGCAACTGATAAGCTTGCACCAATCTGTGAGATATTTGATACATCTTCTAACGTCTACATGGTATTCTCTAACTTGCGCTCTCAATGTAAACTTAAGTCTAAACAGGATTACAATGATCACATAAGACTTACTGAATCATATGTTGGTAATGATATTAAAACATTTTGGAATTTCAAATTCAAAAAGAAAAAGTAATGAGTTACCCAACGAAATGTA